GTTTTTCTACAGGAGGAAAACACTTAACGAGAGACTTTGTGCATTGCGTTCATATTCTGCTGTTCTGTGGCGACGGATTTGCGGGTCTTATCTTTTTCTTGCAGAACCCTGTTATTGTACTAAATACTTATACTTGTATAGTACTTTCATTAGTTTTAATAAGTATTCATTCATTTAAGCACACTCATTTGTGCTTTGGTGCCATCAGCGCTCTTTGACACAGCACTGGTGTTTTCAGTAATGCTAAGCATGATGGCAGAGAATCAGGCAGCTCGCATTTCAAACAGGCGCCTCCATTGACACCATGCTCCTGCTCTTCTAGAAATAATGTCTGGAGTGGTAATATTTAAATACTGTCTCCAAGGGCTTTTTTATTTATCCTGCGAACCATCATATGCCACGGACTATAAGCTCAACTGCATAAGTACGTTAATTTGATGCTTGAGGTAGTATGACAAATTGTGGAACAGCATTAAAGGAATATTCGTTTCAATGCATGTTAAGCTCAATTGACAGCATCTGTGGCATGTTAATTACAAAAAAAATTAAAAGACTAAAATTTGACTTAAAGGAAGCAAACATCAAGGTTACTGAAAAGCACTTACAAATGAATGGGGCCAAAAATAAGCTCTTAGAAGACAATGGGGCCAGCATTTAATAGCAGAAATGTAAAAATGCACTTGCAATAATTCTTCTTGAAAAACGCGTATTATTTGAGCTATAAAGTTTTAGGCATCATGTCACCATGGCAACAAAGATGTAATATTGAATAGTAATATGAGTAAGTTTTTCACACAAAATGATGTTAACACAAAACTGAAAATAAAATGAAAACCATAAAAAAAAACATTTTATTTCAACTATTCAACTAATAGTTTAATTTACTTACTAATAATTTAATTTAATTACTAGTTTAATTAAATTAAATTAATTAATAATTATTATTAAATAATTATTATTAACTATTTGCCATGTGGCAACATTTCTCATTTTAATTCAATTTAACCTTAACCTGAAAAACTAAAACGGAAATAAAAATGAATATAAACTAGACACACATACAGTAAAAATGGAAGAAAAAAAATAATTATTATAACTTTTAAATTTAAATTGACATAATGAAACAATGAGTGTTTTAACTTTTAAAGACTGGCCCCATTCACTTACATTGTAATGTAAGCAGTAAGCTCCTCACTCTAACCCAGATTTTGCTTTTGCTTTGTTTATTTAAACAAAAGTATGGCCAAATCAAAATTAATTGAGGTTAGCGTCTATTGAACCCATAATATACCTCAAGGTTGTTATTCCTTGAATAACTTAAATACACTATAAAAATACACCTTCTCTCTCTGAGGTTTTAAGTTTCTAGAAAACACGTTCTGGAGATATGTGGGTTAAAAGATGAGAGAGCCCAGTGGCCTTGACAGCTGACCGTGCCTCCTATTTTCCTCTGTGATAGGATGACAACTTTGGTGACTGGCATTTGTTCAAATGGACAATATGTTATTTGTAAATGGGCGGCGTGTAAAATGAAGCTCCCCACCCTGGCGTGGCTAGAGTTAACCCCTCTCCCCACCATCAGCAGTCCCTAATGGTTGCTAGGAGGGTGGTCTGCCATACCTCAGGGTGGAGAGGGGAATAAGAGGACAATTGTGGGGCTTTGCATAAGGCTCAAGAGGCTGGAACAGCTGCCATGGTCACTTGGTGGAGGGCTTGCATACTGAAGACCACGCTAGTGTAAAGCATTTGCCAAGGTTGTCCTTCTCATTTGTGATAAAAAGCCCACTGAGTTTGGTTTTGTAAACACATTATTGGTATATTGTTAAAATATTCAGAGTTGTAATCCAAGGAAATTGGTTAACACCTTAAACTGTAAAAAATGCTTGTTTTTTTACTCAAAGGCTTTGGTAAAATCCTGTTAATTGGTGAACATTTTAAATGGTCGAATATTATCTTATATGTAATTTTACTGTAAAATGCAGTCACATTTAGGGCTTTGGCAAGTAAAAACTATTATTTACCAAATAATTTACATTGAAGACAAGTAAAAGCACATTCCCAAAGGGGAATCACATCAGTATATGACCATTTGCCAATAACATGTATCAATTCCAGTTATCTATCAAAGGAAATATCAATCATTATCAATGATTTATTACTTCCACAAGGTATAATATACTCAATTACTGTATGTAACAAAACAAAACAAATAAATAAAATAAATTGTACTAATAAAAACACAAGCTGGGGAAAACTTTTGATGCATTTCAACATTCCAAATGAAAATTAATTTTGACAGTAAAAATAATTTTTTGAGGTTGTACAAAAAAACTCTTTGAATTATAAACTTGCATTTTGTAAAATATACACCTATTTGCCATTCCATTATACCTGAAACATTGTCACTACTGCCAATACTTTCTACAGTGTCTGGTAACCACAGATACATTTTTTTTTACTGTGTAATTTAAAGACATCTTGAGACACATATGCAGTCTGCTCTGATGGCTCATATTGTTTATGTATAGTTCAAGAGGATTTGTAGCTCTTGGGAGTATTCAAACGTCTCCTTTAACTCTCTCTCTCTCTCTCTCTCTCTCTCTCTCTCTCTCTCTTCCTGGCCTCCTTCACCTGAGTTTTTTGCAGGAATAATGGCATGACGTCAGATAGTGGAGCAGATCCCTGGCTTAATTTCTCAACCAGTTAATTGACTTTCCTGGGACCACAAGACCCCAGACAGAACAAATAAACTCTACACATGATAATAAAAAGACAAAATATTATCTCACATAATTAATACCTCTAAAAGGCTATACACGTGAATAAAGCTACAACACCTAAAGGAATTGTTCACCCAAAAATGAAAATTTGCTGAAAATGTACTCACCCCCAAGCCATCCAAAGATGAGTTTGTTGGAAAAGCTTGGAGAAATTTAGCATTGCATCACTTGCACACCAGTGGATCCTCTGCAGTGAATGGGTGCCGTCAGAATGAGAATTCAAACAGCTGGGGAAAAAAAAATCCACAAGTAATCAATATGACTCAAGTCCATCAATTAACATCTTGTGAAGAGAAAAGATGCATGTTTAACAAATCCATCATTAAGATATGTTTAACTTCAAACCTGGCTAAAATACAAGTCCTCTATACATACTTCCTCCAGTGAAAAACAAATGTAGAAATATGCACATATCAAGCACCATTTACAAGCGAAAACAGCCCCAAACAGTTCTAAACTATGTTTA